TCTTTCCCTGCACATTCGTACCCTGGGGATCCTGGCCTCGCACAAGGACCCCCAAGGGTGCATTATTTATGATCTGGGGAGGAAACACGCTTACAGTGAGCCACGCTCAGCCTTTGGCCCAGGAACCCACAAGGCATGTCATTATTAGACCGTGACATACGCCCCATCATGCCTCGTGGCTGAATCAGGGCAATCGTGTATTTGCAAGAAGCTCCTTGTTAATCCCTGACAAAAAACGTGATGTTGTGATGTTAGGAGACAATGTCTCCGTGTGCCGGTTGCAGCATCCGGGCTACGCAGCCATCGGAGGGGGAGGCTCTGGGCCAAAACTACCCTGAAGCCACTGCTCACTAATATGCATCAGATGGTGTAACATCTGGCAGCTTAGTTCCTTGTGATCATGTCCTACACCTATCCCTTTGGCATTTAAGCCTTTAAAACCATTCACCTGCAACATGCGCAGCTGCCTGGGACGTCCCACTCTGCGAGGTGAAGCAGGTGCTGCAGTCGCTGGAGGCCCCGATGATATCGTCTCCCGGGGCAAACACATCCACGCAGCGGCCAAAGTTTGTGCCCATGGTGCCCATGGAAACAGGCTGGTCCTGGTAGTCTGTCGCTCCAACGGTGATAACCTGTACGTTACAACAGAGAGGCGCGAGCCAGTTGTGACCTGGACCGTCAACAGCGGGCAGGTGGTAAATGGTGTGAACAGGTAATTTCATGAGCGATGATGGATGCGTGAGAGGCAATGGGTGTAGGGGAGACCCTTTCGAGTTCAACAGCATAGCAGGGCCTCCTGGTTTGGGAAGAGACCTCTGAAAGTGATGAGATTTCATTTCGACTCCCCGCTCCTGCCCATTCACGATACCCCTGGGATTAATAATACTGTGCTCCTATAAAGAGAGAAATGCTCCCCTCTTTCCCCACCTCCTGCCACCCCATTCAGGTGCCCAAGAGCAGTATGAACACAAAGCAGGATCGTGATTCTGCCTGACGGTGACCTGGGCTGAGGCAAGAGGGCATGCCTGCAATCCCTCCCCAACCCGGCACTTTTCACCCCAAAAGCTGGAGCTGCGGAGACCCGAGGCACAGAGCGGCGATGTCACCGGGCAAGGTCAGGCAGCGAAACGGCGTCGAGAGATGAGGATTCTGCCCCAACTCGCGGCATCCCGCTCAGCCCGAGAGAAGCAGTCCCCTGCTCCCTACCTCCGGTTCGGATGCTGGCGAGTACAGGCAGGCATCCTCCTTGTAGTTACCGGCTGCGGCAATAATCACCACCCCCGTGCGCACCATCAGCCGGCAGGCTGCATTCAAAACGCGGCTGTAGCCTCCGGCAAAGGGGAGCAGCACAACCAACGGCGTGTAGGGCTGGGCCTCCAGGGTGGTCTTGATAAACTCCAGGCCTGGCGATTGAACAGGAATTACAGTGAGAGCGGAAAACCATCGCGCCAGTGACTCGCTCGCTTCTTGGGGACCAGATTCAACTCCTCTGCCCTCTCTTCGGAGAGGGGCAACAAGGATCCTTTTCATGCAAACGTCTGTGATGATGAAGTGCATGGGAAGAAACGCAGTGAATCAGCGGCACTGTTGCTCCAGGGGATGTTTTCCTTGGAAGCGCCGGCAGGTGTGTCGGCTGCAGGGAGGTTGAAACAGGCAGCCAGGGAGTCTCCTCCCGGCAGATGGATGATTGAAACCAGAAACCCAAGCAAATCCAAAGAAGAACAGACAACTCACTCAGACCAGGCTCCCTCCCAGCCCTCTGATGCCACCTGTGTAGTCCTGGTGTTAGCTACTTGGGGATGACCTGGTGGGGAATCTGCAGGTACAAGGTAACCTTGGGGATAGTGACCATCGAGTGATTGAATTCACTATCCGGCCAAGGGTGGGTAAACTAACCAGCAGGGCTGAAGTGCTAGACTTCAGAAAGACTAACTTCAGTGCGCTCAGGAGATTAGGTAGTGAGGCGTCAAAGTTCAAAAGCACTGGCAAAATGGTGGTCTAGGAAGGGTGGTCGTTCGTGCTAGACTTCAGAAAGACTAACTTCAGTGCGCTCAGGAGATTAGGTAGTGAGGCGTCAAAGTTCAAAAGCACTGGCAAAATGGTGGTCTAGGAAGGGTGGTCGTTCCGATCCTACGGGCGCAGAAGGAGACAATCCCATTGCGCATAAATGGGGCAAAGGGGCCAAGAAGCCCTCTTGGCTGGACAGGGAAGTCCAGGAAAGCCTAAGAGCAAAGGAAGAGGTATACAGGCTGTGGAAATGGGGTAGCTACCAAGGAGGAGTATACCTCCCTAGCTCGCACTTGCAGGGAATCAGGAAGGCCAAAGCGGGGTTAGAACTCAGGCTGGCGACAAAAATTAAGGAACACAAAAAGTCCTTCTTCGGGAATATAGGGAGTAAAAGGAAGGTGCAGGGTAGCGTAGGACTAGGGAATTGGTGACAGAGAGGGGGGACGAAGCTGAGCTCTTCGATGAGTTCTTTGCATCTCTATTCCTAGACACCGTCCAAGACAAATCTCCCAATTGAACCATAGATAGACACAGGAGGACACCAGCCCACCAACTGTTAGCGCAGACTTAGTGAAGGGGCACTTGGAGGGCCTGGCTGAGCTCCATCCAAGGGTGCTGAAGGAATTGGCCGGTGTCATAGCAGAGCTGTTGGCACGGCTGTTCGAGCACTCGCGGTGCTCTGGTCAGGTCCCAGAGGACTGGAAAAGAGCCAGTGTGGCCCCTATTTTCAAGAAGGGGAGGAGGGAGGAACCGGGAAACTATAGGCCAGTTAGTCTTACCTCTATCCTTGGGAAAACACTGGAAAAAATCAGTAAGGATCACATTTGTGGGATCCCAGCAGGGGAAATAATGCTGAAAGGAAATCAGCAGGTATTGATTGCAGGTAGATCCTGCCTGACTAACATTGTATCTTTTTATGACCAGGTCACAAAATGTTTAGACGCAGGAATCAAGGTAGATGTCATCTACCTAGACTTTAAGAAGGCCTTTGATACGGTATCTCATTCTGTTCTCCTAAATAAAATGACAGGCTGTGATGTAGATGATTACACGGCCAGGTGGGTGGCAAATTGGCTTAGGGGTCGCACCCAAAGAGTGGTGGTGGACGGGTTGATATCAACCTGGAAAGATGTGGGCAGTGGAGTCCCGCAAGGCTCGGTCCTTGGACCGGTGCTATTCAATGTCTTCGTCAGTGATTTGGACGAGGGCATGGAGAGCACCCTGTCCAAGTTCGCAGATGATACCAAATTATGGGGCAAAGTTAACACACCAGGCAGATCTGGACAAGTTGGAAAAATGGGCCAAATGAAATAGGATGCAGTTCAATAAAGCCAAGTGCAAAGTGCTGCACCTGGGCAAAAAGAACCACCCACACACTTACAGGCTGGGGGACGACCTGCTCAGCAGCACAGCAGCAGAAAGGGATCTCAGAGTCACAGCTGATCACAGTCGTCAATGTGATGAAGTGAGCAACAAGGCTACCCGCACTTTATCATGTATTAGCAGATGCATGACGAACAGGTCCGGGGAGGTGATGCTTCCCCGCTATGCGGCACTGGTCAGGCCGCAGTTGCAGTACTGCATCCAGTTTTGGGTGCCGCACTTCAAGAGGGATGCAGAAAACCTTAAGAGGGTTCAGAGGAGGCCGCTCGTATGGTCAGAGGCTTGCAGGCAAGGCCCTACCTACAAGGGGAGATTGAGGGACCTGGATCTCTTCAGCCTTCACAAGAGAAGGCTGAGGGGATCTTGTGGTTGCCTATGAATTCATCAGAGGAGGGCAGCAGGGAACGGGAGATGCTCTATCAGGTGGGTGGCAAATTGGCTTAGGGGTCGCACCCAGAGCATGGTGGTAGACGGGTCGATATCGACCTGGAAAGATGTGGGCAGTGGAGTCCCGCAAGGCTCGGTCCTTGGACCGGTGCTATTCAATGTCTTCGTCAGTGATTTGGACGAGGGCATGGAGAGCACCCTGTCCAAGTTCGCAGATGATACCAAATTATGGGGCAAAGTTAACACACCAGGCAGATCTGGACAAGTTGGAAAAATGGGCCAAATGAAATAGGATGCAGTTCAATAAAGCCAAGTGCAAAGTGCTGCACCTGGGCAAAAAGAACCACCCACACACTTACAGGCTGGGGGACGACCTGCTCAGCAGCACAGCAGCAGAAAGGGATCTCAGAGTCACAGCTGATCACAGTCGTCAATGTGATGAAGTGAGCAACAAGGCTACCCGCACTTTATCATGTATTAGCAGATGCATGACGAACAGGTCCGGGGAGGTGATGCTTCCCCGCTATGCGGCACTGGTCAGGCCGCAGTTGCAGTACTGCATCCAGTTTTGGGTGCCGCACTTCAAGAGGGATGCAGAAAACCTTAAGAGGGTTCAGAGGAGGCCGCTCGTATGGTCAGAGGCTTGCAGGCAAGGCCCTACCTACAAGGGGAGATTGAGGGACCTGGATCTCTTCAGCCTTCACAAGAGAAGGCTGAGGGGATCTTGTGGTTGCCTATGAATTCATCAGAGGAGGGCAGCAGGGAACGGGAGATGCTCTATTTACTAGGGCACCCCCTGGAGTAACCAGGAACAATGGCCACAAATTGACGGAGAGCAAGTTTAGGTCAGACATTAGAAACAACTTCTTCATAGTAAGGGTTGCCAGAATCTGGAATGGCCTTCCAAGGGAGGTGGTGCTCTTCCTACCTTGGGGGTCTTCAAGAGGAGACTGGACAAGCACCCAGCTGGGGTCGTCTGACCCTAGCACT